TGATTAGGTTTCTGGTTCTATAAGACATAAACTTTCTAACCAACTCGCATAATTTACTTGAAACCTTGACTTGTGACTATTTCTGTGGGTAAAAGGCATAAGGGGATAAGTCAAAAAAAGCAATTTTTCAATAGAGCCTTTAACATTCGAACTTTATTTGGCAACATGGCAGGTGATGAAGGCGACGATAAGAGCTCTTCAAAATGTTGCAAATATTGCAAAAATTCTGTTGTTAATAGTATTGCTAAGTGTGTAAACTGTGATAATGTGTACCATACGTCCTGTGCCCTTCGTATAGCTGGCCTGGTAGCAGTGGAAAGAAATAATTTAGTAGAATGCTGTCGTACCGGAGTTGAGGTTATGAATAACGGCGTGGTCAACTGTGAGCTATTAGAAGCAAAAAACGAAATACTGAGAGGAAAAGAAACGATTATCTTGGAGCTTAAGGCAAAAGAAGCTCTCCTGTATAAAAACATTCAATTGCTTGAAGAGAAACTCAATGCTTATGTCAGGAAAAATCAAAAACTAGGAAATGGAAGTCAATCCGGCAACAGTGGAGAATGTGCAGACGCCTCGACATACGCAAAAATGGCGCAACAAAACAAGTCGACTAACCTAAGAAAATCGACAAAACCAATGCAAGAACAAAATTCTGGAACTAAAAAGGATGCAGATTACGACCGTCAAAAGTCAGAGCCAATAATTTCGGCGAATCAAGTTAAGAAAGCTATTCTGCAAGCACAGCAATTGAATAGTGAGGAACAAGTAAACGAAAATAATCCAACCAAGGAAAATACATTAAGCTCTGAGTTTAAGCAAGTAGTCTATAAGAAGAAACAAAAAATGATCTATGGAAATAACAAAGATAATACTTTTGGACTATCAGCGTACATTCCAAAATCAAAAATACATGTATCCAAATTAAGCATAGAATGTTCAAAGGAAACTGTGGAAAATTATATTAAGAGCAAAATACCAGGCATCGTGCTTGACTGCATAGAGTTAGATGTAAAATCCAAATTGTATAAAAGTTTTAAAATAAGTGTACCGGTGACAGAACGTAATACACTCCTCAACAAAGAATTTTGGCCATCTAGTGTAGCTATTATAATGTTTTACGAAAAACGAAATTTTCAGGAGGGGGGGCCCAACCCAGTGGAAAAATAAACATTCCACAATACAGTGTCATACACCAAAACGTTCAGTCCATTGGAAACAGCGTAGAACAATTAGATGCTTTTCTGGAATGTCATCTAGATAGTTTGGTTGTCTGCATAAGTGAGCACTGGAAAACTATAGATCAACTAAAACTACACAACCTAGAAAACTATACTCTGGTTTCACAATACTGTCGAGAAAAAGGAGAACATGGAGGAACAGCAATATTCTGCAAAAAAACAGTCAAATGCTGCAATAGGCAGGATGTTGTGAGTTTATCTGTGAAAAATGTTTGTGAGTGTTCAGCTGTTGAGTGGAAAACTGGTAATAGAAATTTTGTAATAATATGTATGTATAAACCACCTGATTCAGTATTTGAATCTTTTATTAATATTTTAGAGGGAATACTCACATTGGTACTGAATGATAACTGTGATATTATTCTGACTGGGGATTTTAATATAGATTTGAGCGTGCAAAGTAAAATGAGTAAAGGGTTGTTATCAGTTGCAGTCTTTTGGTCTGAAACAAACAATTTTTGAGTATACTCGCATAACAAATGTTTCAAAAACGTGTATTGATAATATATTTACGAATATAGATAAAGTAACATCTACAGTAATAGATAGTCAAATCTCAGATCACAAAGCTCAAAAAATCACTCTTAATGCAAATTTTAAAATGAATAAATCAACTTACTTAAAACGAGTGTATAGTCTGGAAAGTATAGAAAATTTTAAACAAAAATTAAGTGAGCATACATGGATCTCTGTTTACTCACATAAATCAATTGAAGTAAACAAGCAATGGAGTAGTTTTATAAATATTTTCATACCGATCTTTGAGGAATGCTTTCCGAGAAAATTAGTAAAGACCAAAAGAACTGTAAAAATGAACTTGACAAATGACCCGACTGTGAAACATTTAAAAAATCAATTAGATATTTTATATGTCTTATCATCTATAGACAGCAATTATAAAATGGAATATAATAATATGAAAAGAATGTATAACACCGCTTTAGCCAATGCAAAAAAAGTAAATATAATATGTTGATAAAAAACTCTGATAATAAGCCTAAAACAGTATGGAATATTGTAAACAAAATTAAAAATACTAAAACCACAAATAAAGACATTGATAGTGTAGGAGATCCCGCTCAAGTTTGTACTGATTTCAATAACTTTCTAGTCAAAATAGTACCTGATTTATTATCTAACTTAAAAAATATAGACTTTTACTGTGATATCCCCTCTAACATTAAATCAATGTATGTATCTGATGTAACAGAGACTGAAATTATATGTATTGTAAAAAAATTAAAGAATAAGATGAGTAGTGGAGTGGATGAAATTCCTACATATATTATTAAAAATTGTATTTATGAAATTTGTGAACCGCTATGTTATGTTGTTAATAATTCATTAAAATATGGCATCTTCCCTGACCAAATGAAAACGGCCATAGTTAGTCCTATTTATAAGAAAGGTGATCCATCGTTGATGAACAGCTACAGACCAATTAGTCTATTACCTTCTTTTTCAAAAGTTTTTGAAGCAACAATTTGTGCCAGGCTAAAGGATTTCTTCGAAATTAATAATTTATTTAATAAAAATCAGCATGGTTATTTGAAGGGTAGGTCTGTGGAAACAGCAGTGCACAGCTTCTTACAAAAAATTTATGATGACTTTGAGAGTAATTGGCTATCTTTGGGACTTTTTATAGATCTCTCTAAAGCATATGATTGCTTAAATTATGATATACTTTTTAAAAAACTATACAAGTATGGAGTAAGAGGCTGTGCGCTAACGTGGATACAGTCATATCTTTCAGGTAGAAAACAGAGGGTTAAAATAATCAGAGACGGGGTCGGATTTGAGTCGAGATCAGAAGTCATTAACGTTGGAATACCTCAAGGTAGTACCATTGGGCCATTATTGTTTATAATTTATATAAACGATATTGGAAGTGTAATACAAAATACCAATCAGAATATGGTAAATTTTGCTGACTATACAAATCTATTGGTCAGGGGTAAGACCTACCTTGATATATTGACACAAACTGAAAATTTAACAAAATGTCTCAATGACTGGTTTGCAATGAACAAACTTATTGTGAACCAGGAAAAAACCAACTGTATATTGTTCAAAAAGGTACAAGATCGCATAGAAACTCCTAGTAATGTTAAAATAAATGATGATATGGTTAAGTATACATCTAGCACAAAGTTCTTGGGCCTTTATATTGATGAGTACCTAAATTGGAATACTCACTTAGCACAACTCAGCCAAAAGCTAAACAGTGTAGCATATTCAATTAGGGTACTAAAGAAATATGTAAATAATGAAACTCTAAAGACCATTTACTTTGCAAATTTTCAGTCTATGCTTAGGTATGGCATTATTTTTTGGGGCAGAAGTAGTAGTTTTCAGACGTTTGGTTAATACAAAAGCGTGTAATTCGGATATTGAGCAATTTAGGGAATACTGATTCGTGTAGAGGATATTTTAGGTGCAAAAGTATTTTGACCGCGACTGGTTTATATATTTATGAACTTTTAGTATTTGCACACAAAAATAAGTCCAACTTTGAAAACCTAAAACGAAACACTATTACAAGATCCTCCGGTTACAACTATCCTAAGCATAGACTGAGTACTTTTGAGAAAAGTTGTTACTATTCGGCGGTTGTATGTTTCAATAAACTACCAACAAATATTCAAATTGAAGGAAACCTTATAAAGTTTAAAACTGGCATTTATAACTTGCTGATGCATATTGAACCATATGATTTGAATGAATTTTTAAATCATTAGGAAATGTATTGTCTGGACCAAATTTCATTTAATATTTGTATTGCATTTTCTTTTGTACGCAAAATTTCTTGAAATAAACATTATTATTATTATTATTATTATTCGCATTAATTCAGGAACTATATTTATGTTTAGCGGGTATACGCTTTTGTTAGCATATGACATGTGCTAACAAAAGGGTATACCCGCTAACCATAAATATGTTTCCTGAATTAATGCGAATACGTTTAAACCTCTCCTTATCTCCTTATGCCTTTTACCCACAGATTTACAGGTTTTAACCTATCGTTGACATTTTATACGAAGCGGAAAAAAAGAAAATAGAGAGGCATAAGTCTTTGAAAGTGGTCGCAAACGCACCACTTCTTGTAAAATTTTGGTAAAACGAAATTTATTGTAAAGTTAAATAATTGTTTCAAGTGTATTCTCCAAGGTTAGTTCTTAATTTTAGTATTCCATATTATGTAGTCCACTAAACCTAAAACGATTTAGATTTAAGTTAATTGATCAGTAGTTATTTTGCACTACTACGTTTAGCGAATTTTACTTGATATTAACACCTTTTCTTTTAGCTATTTTTAAAGTAATTATCAAATATTTTTATTCAACTTCTAATAAAACAAATTGAAAAAACTTTCATATTTAGGTAAAAACTTAGATTTGAAGTTATTAGTGGTTGCTTTTTCCATCTACACTGGTTATCGAAGCTCATGCTTCGTCATATTTATCTGATAAAGAAAGATTTGCAATAGTTTGAAATAATAAAAACTACCCAGTTTTGTTAATTATACAGTTTATCTGTTAAAGTATGTAGAACAATTAAAAATAATAATTATTATTAAGTACATTCCTATCTTTAATGATAAAAAACTCAAAAATGTTGCTTATCCGTTAAATTTGGTTCGTTAAAAGTAAAAACAGTCCATGATAAAAATTTTAATTATTGTTTGAAGGGACACTATGTGATTTTAAAAATATAAAAAAAAAATATGTATAAGTATAGGAACTGTATTGCAAAAATATTAGTTTACTTGAAGTAATATAAGTGGTACAATGTGGCATATAATAATTTACTTGTTTTTAATATTCTCACAATTTTACATCGGTAAATATAAAAACACAATAAATACATAACATTATAAAATAAACAATAATTGTTTTTAGTATCTTCACAAGAAGAAAATCAAATCTTTGAAGAATTCGGTAAATATACAATTTAATTAATATATTTTGTTTAAAGTTTCCAGATACTGATTATGATAAAGTTAAGTTATTTTGAACCCAATAACATATAGGTATACAAAATTTAACCAAGCTTATTTAGCAAAAATCAGGGTGCTCATGCGATAAATGCGAACCCGTTCTCCGAAATGCTCCATTACATCAGGTTTTTCAGAAAGTCAAACCTAAAAGTATAAAAACGCGTTTACGAAATAATTTTACCCCGTATGTCATCTAAAAGAACCACTCTTTTACTACCTACAAAAACATTTAAAGATTTTATATTATCAGGCAATTTGTTAATACACTTAATACAAGAATAAAAATAAATCTTTTCTTAGGTACATAATTGATGACTAGGATAAATATAATCTTAAGGTCTAGGTGCTTAAATTTATTCTTATTAATAAACCGTTAGATTTAAAAACCTCTCTACATGTACCTTTATATTTTAGTTTACACAAAAATCGCTCTATTCTTTTTTGTATGAAAAAACACTATATTTGACAATGTTTCCAAAAATTATTCCATATCGCAATATAGATAGAAAACAAGCAAAATAGACTGATTTTAAGGAAGTTTTTTTCAATATATTTATTTAATATACATATACTTATACTTATTACTTTTATATCAGTATCCTACCTTACCTTCTACGTCCTCAATTCCTGCTACAATTTCAGAGTAAGTTTTTTCACTAACGAGTATGTTCGTATCATCCGCAAGGCTTACACTCAGAAGTGAATTTGACAAATCATTTACATAAGTTAAAAATAACAAATGCCCAATCGTACTTCCTTGAGGAATTCCAACACTAATTTTCTTTAATGATGACTCATATGCTACACTAGTTTCCAAGATTCTTACCATTTGACACCGATTTGTTAAGTATGACATATACCCACTGCAGCGCACAACCCCTTATGTTTTTGAAAGAAAGTATCTGTCATTAGATTTATTTATCGATCTTTCTAAAGCATTTCATAAAACAATCTATAAAGCATATGATTGTCTACAGTATGACATACTTTTCGAACAGTATGTCATACTGTAGACAATCACATGCTTTAGAAAGATCGATACCTAAACCTAATGACAGATAATTTTTTTCAAAATCATCAAAAATACGTTGCAATAAATCGTAACCTGCAGTATCCACAGATCTACCATGTTGGTTATCATTTAAAAGATTGGTAGAAATAAAGAAATCATAGTCTAGTGCACATTTCTGCTTCAAATATATTTGAGAATTCATTATTGTTGGATTTCCTTTTTTAAACAATGGGTTAACTAAACCTTTTTCAATACCATATTTTAACGAATTCTTTAAAATATACAATAAAGGATAGTTCAAAAAAACAATATTTAATAATGATATAAGGTACTTCTTTAATGCCACTTCTATTTTTGTTCTTTAAATTTTTAATAATATTTATTATTTTATTGACAGTTACAGATATAACAAACATAGAGCTAAAATTTACATTAATATTACAGTTATAAGTAGTACCTTTTAAAGAATTTAGTAAATTTGGAGCTGCATCTAATAAAAAATTGTCAAAATCATTACAAATTTCCTCTTGGTTACCTTTAATTCTAAATTCCCTATTATAATATATAATAATTATTAGTTCCCTTAATATTTTCAACAACTTTCAACACTTCTTTACTTTTTGTAAGATTTTATTCATATTTATAGTTTATATCACAATTATGCAACCTATTTTTTTTTAAATTTATTACAGTTTTATCGTTAGAATATTTTTTTTCCTATTTTTAGGAAAACATTCGTTAAACAAATGTACAAACATATTAATTAAACTTGACCACTGCTCATTAATATTAATTATATAAATTGAGTAAAGAGGTAACCATAAGCATTCTTCAAGCTTGTTTCCAATTTTTTTTTATTATTTAAAGTGAATTGTCTTCTATACACATACCATAGCTTTTTGTGTATTAAGAGCGCAAAGTGATACATTGCCGCTCTGAGCGAGAAGGCTATCTCGCGAGAGCGGCAATGTCACTTTGCGCTCTAATTACACACAAGATTTTTTCTACAACCGGTGTTTCTATAAGAATGGTGGGTAAAAATTAATAATTATTGATAACCTCAAATTTGACGTTTGCGTCAAAAGTCGCAAATACACTAAACGTTTCCTTATTATGGTTTCCATGGTAACTAAGCGAGCGGAAAAGTGCAACTTTGCGCTTTCTTTTGTACTTTTCGCTTGGATGTAAAAAAATGTATGAATTCTATTTGGAATTTCTTCAATAAATATTTTACTAAAAAACTAGTTTCCAAACTTGGATTGTGGCATACACGCACAATAGAAGCACTTCATTAATAACAAACTCGATTAAAACACATTCAACAAATCGACTTTGCGATAACTTTGTAATATCTTCTATATCATTCCACTGCACATTGTCTTTGCAATAAATATCAACATCATCTTGTAAGCCTGCAGGTCTACAAAAGCTTGTTGATACTTGAAAACCATTTATTTGGTAAATTCGAAGCTCTGTACTACAGGTTTCCAGTGATCACTAATGCATAAAATGATGCAGTCTTGATGTTTATCTAGAATTATTTGTAAGGAATTAATGCAATTCCCTAAATTCTGGTATATTATACAAAACTTTGTACCAACCTTTATTCCTGGCTTATCTTTCACCACCAAAAAAAGCTATTAAGTTGAAAGTCTCTTAAGACTACCCCCTCAGGCCAATAGCCATTACTGTAGAGTTTATCAACTGTTGATAAAGGTAAACCCATAATGAAGGAAGAGCAAGTAAAGTTAATTTTATTAACTTCAAACTCAAATAGTTTAGAATATCTTCTTCCTTTATGTTGGTGCCAGATATTCTCCCTACATAAAACCACGTTTGTTTCTGTTTTTTTTTATTCTTTGGCACAATAAATGGGTACATTATTTATATCTGATTCTTTTTCTTGTATTTATTTTTAATTTATCATTTTGTTTTTTGTTTGACCGATTTCTTGCTACCAGTTGAGTTTTTGCCGGTTTTTGTGGCCTCTGATGTCAGTAGACTAATATTGTTGAATTTTTCTTCAAAAGGTTTAATAACAGATTTTTTTAAATTTAATAGTATATTGCAGCTTGGCTAGCAATTTTTGTGTTAATACTTGTTCTCGATTTACACACTACCTCTTTTTTTAAGATCTCAGTTTCACTATTCCTTTTATTAAATTGGGTCCGCCAATCTTTAATAGATAGGTACACATGCTAAATGAAAATTTAAATTGTACATTTCACAACTTAACTTGGACTTTACTATAAAGAACTAGCCTATTTCCTTCGCTCCATGCGTCCTACACAAACAGGCACGGGCAGACAGACAATTTGGGCACAACACCTTAAGTAGAAAACCATTTTTTGACACGTTATTTGTAATTTATGATCGAAATAATGAATCAAATTCTTAAATTTTAAGTTAAAATTTTTAACTAATAACTTCTCGAAGAAAAGAAAGGATATTTAAAAAATTCATACAAAAAAATTGTATATTATAAGGAGAACGGGAACGAGAACAAGCGTAACGAGTTAAAAAAAACCTTGTGATGTAATATCGTAGCGCTTTTCCACTGTTGGGTTAGAACTTGTAGAATATCTGATGTGATGAAGAAATACTAAGGTGTAATTCGGAATTAACACGTCAAAAATCCTCATTTTGGTTTAAAAAAATATGTAGATTTGTGTAAAACGTATACAAGACAGTGTTGCCAGAAAAACTCCTAAAACGAAAAATCAAAATTCTTTATATTGCTAATTTATTTAAAATAGTTTTAAAGATATTTTTAATCCAAACGTCGCATTATAATCAACTAAAGGTAAAGCCAACTCCAGACAAGTTCAAAATAACTTAGCTTTTTGATTATTATTGTTATTTAGAATGGTATTTTTAGCTTGTGAAAATAATACTAATGTGCATTTTGATTGCGATTATTCCAATCAATACAGTGATTTATTTCAAGAACCACGCAAGAAGATTCAAATTGTGGATGGATTTTACGGAAGAGATGAAAATACAAACTGTGTGCCTAGAAAAAAAGGCAAATTAATTCTAGCTAAAAGTTCGAATTGCACTTTGGATATAGCAGATTTTATGAGAAAGCGGTAAAAGTATAAGGAGTGTGCTGAAAGTTCCTGCCAGACAAAAACATTCGATATAAACTACTTAATTTTATTCTTTGAATATATAAAAAAAATGTTTTAATCTGATAACTTTAAAGTACATACTTTTAAACAATAAAAGACAAAATTTAAAATTTTTTTCACAAAACGATTTGTCAATAACATTAAAATAATTTGTTTCAACTTTGGTCTAAATAAGGTATAAATAAATTAATATATATAATATAATAATACCTTGGAGTACACAAACGATTTGTAAAAATATACAAAAATCGAATATTTTTTGCTAAAAGTAACAGCTTCGATAGATACCTTAAAAGCTCATTCCCATCCACTTAATAACCGTAACTTAACTTAACTTAACTTTAGAAACCTACGTCTGTTAAGTTGTCTGTTTACATTAACTTAATACACGCAAAGAACGTAATATACAAGCACGCGCAAGGTATACATCGATGTAGACTGGGTGCCTATCTATCTATAAAAGTGAAACAACAAGATAGCGTTATATAGTTTTACTGGGCATGAGATTGGCTCACGTAAGAAACGTATTCCCTTAAGTTGAGCTGTACCCAACTTTTGAATACGAGGGGTCTAGATGCAAAACCCGCCAAATCCATTTATTGAAAATAAAGGACAGAAGACATGTTTCCATAACAACATAATTAATATGTATTGCAAACATATCTACTGTCCTTTACTTTCAATAAATGGAGATGGCGGGTTTTGCATCTAGACCCCTCATACGTTAAGTTACGTGTGATAAGTTTTCTACGAATGTAAACAGCTGCATTGGTTTCAATGTATTTCAACTTACGTCTCTCACGTAAGTTAAGTTAAGTTACGCTTATTAGGTGGATGTGAATGAGCTTTAACCCTGAATTTGCGCACACTCCAAGTTACCCCTTTCATAGCCATCTAGAATTTGTTTTTTCTCATTGCTCATATCTCGCGTTCTGTTCGTCGCATAGCATGTATACATTAGTCATGGTTTAAACTTCAATTCTATATCAATTTAGTGCCTCCTATGTACCTACTGGATTAACGTCCAAAGTTAAAACTACTTCGCAAAAAGTCCTTACGCTCGGTTTCTCTGAGAGTAGCCATGTTTTAGTTCATGTAAGACACACATTGCCTTTATTACTACACTTTAAAACTTTAATAGAAGTAAAAATAAACAAAATTTGATTTGTTTAATGATAAAATCCTTAACCGGCTATATTGTAGTAAATTATAAAAAAAATATATCATTTATGTTTTTTTATTTGGCAGGAGTTTCTAAAAACCATAAACTAAATTTAATTAAAGTTTGTTAATTTTTAGCTGCGACGGGTTAGAAAGATGTGACTATAATTCTACAAACGATTTTTTTGGGGGTAATCCGTGCATAGGTGATCCCAAGTATACCACTATTCATTACCAATGTGTGGCTCCAGAAGAAACCACAACTGAAGCAGCCACGGAACCTCCAGAAGCAGTAGTTGATGGACCCACTATTTGCTTCTCACGTACCATACGCATACAGTGCGCAAAGAAGAAAATAAAAGTCAAAAAAGTTTTCTTTGGTAGAACAGATGACACTACTTGTATACCCAGCTCGGTCAAAAACAAATTTGGCAATAATTTAAATTATAAATGCGATGGAAGTGATGTAGCGCTTAAATATACCAAAAAACTGTAAAAAATATTTGATATTATTAAGCGTAAAAATAAATAAAATTTTAGATGCGATGGCAAAAGTACGTGTGATCTAATAAATGCCGTTGGGACTGGAGATGGAATTATGAATAGTGGTTGTAATGCTGCTCAAGTACCTTACTTACGAATAAGTCATTCATGTGTTTAATTAAATTGATTTAATGTTGGTTTTCTTTAAAATACAATTATAATTATAACAATGGTGTGATAATGGGTTAAAAATATTAAATATTCAATATTGAGTCAAACCACGTCAAATATGTTTGAGTTTTTATTGATTTTTTGGAAAGTATCGATAATTGTAAAAATCTGTAGATAATATCAAAACAAAAAACCTTTTTTCGAAATTCCGCATCGTTTTTATTATTTACTACCCAAGAATTTATCGCTACCTACGAGCAAACTAAAATGATAGGCCAATAAGGTATAAGTAATTAATATTGTTTAAATAATTCTTATTAAAAACAAAGTTTTTTTTGAATATATTTATTGTAAAAAAAACATTTAATAACTGTCAAAAATAATTTAACAACTATTGCGAAAGGGTCGTTTCTTTCAAATGTTGTAAAATTCGGTACTAAAAATAACTAAGAACTTTCAAAAAATGATGAGTTTTGTTTGGTTGGTTATTATCGTTACTTTCAGAAAAATCAATATATATTTATTGACAAATTTGACGTGGTTTGACTTATTATTAAATTATAAAGTTTTTCAATTTTTTTATCCTTTTCCTACCTGTTTAGTCCTGAAGGAGAAAGATTTATAAGAGTTTTAAGAAGCCGTTTAATAAGAACATAGCTGTTTTTGATTGGTATGATTGCAATAATTGCCATAAATAATAATTATTGAAAGCCTAGGAAGCAAAAGGGTAAAAGTGCAAATAAGTTAAGTGCAGAATTAAGCAAACAATAATATTGCAAAAAGTCCACAACTCTTTTTTGTACTTCTACAATCTTGCTTCTAACCCCTTCAACTATATATATAATTAAAAATTATTTAAAAATGTTTTCTTATCAATAAATAGTTAAAGTAAGAATTTGGTTAAAAAAATATGGCCGTCCTTTAGTTTCGCAAGATAGTCAAAAAGGTATTTTTAATTTTTTTATAAAATATTAAATATTTATCTTATTAATAATAATTATTAGTACTTCAATATTAATATTAATAAAAAGAGGTCATAACCCATCCCTAAACCCAAATTTAATTTTACCATTTGGATTAGCACACAAAATACGATTATTATTTATTTTCTGTCTACTTAATTATTACTTAAATTAAACATTAAGCATTTAATGTTTAATACTTGAAAATGAAATTCATTTTTTTAGCTCTATGAGCTATAGGTGGATTAAGCCAGCATTTAAAGTAAAGTAATGTAACGTAACGTAATTTAACGAGGATAGCCTCTATTCATTTCCTTAAGCGCAAAATACCTTATCAGCCTGGCCTATAGGTAATACCTATTAGGTATACTACGATCAAAAACATGGGTCACATTGTCAATATTTTGCTTCGCGTTAGAGTTATAGCAAAAAGTTAAAAAAAAAAGTTGTTGAGAATCAAAAGAATACCCCAGATACCATCTTTCGTTTAAAAATTCGTATTTTATTTTTTATCCATAAATTTGTCAGTCCCAAATTTCAGAATTTTAGAATCAAGAGAATATCTCAGATACCTACTTTTATTTAAAAATTTGAAATAATTTTTATCCAAACGTATTTTGAGTTTAAGGAAATGCATATATGCCTCTTGGTGATAAAAATTTCAAATTGATTAATACAAAAATAAAGAAAATACAGGGGTGCTTCCATGTAAAGTGAAACAAACTGTATAATATCATGTAAAAAATGTTAATAATATCCTCTAATGATAAATACAGAAAATTTGTTGTAAATCAATTTTATTTACTAACAATATAGGTATTCTGAAATTTAATTTTTTTTTATGAAAAATTATTTATGAGTATGAGTATTCTGAAATTTAATTTTTTTTATAAAAAAATTATTTATGACCATGAGTATGAGTATAAGAGACGTATAACCGGCCCCATTGCCTCATCGCTCCCGGGCCCCGCATAGGTCTCTGTTTCCTTGCGCCGATTTTCTTTCGCCATTGCTGGTTGCGAATGTCCATTGCGTCCCGTACTGTCCCCTAATTAGGGCTCAAAAGCGAAATGCCAATAGTTTTAGTAGCCATTCCTGGGTTCGCCGAGCCGATGCTATACGTCCAGTTGGGTAATGAAGGAGGTAGGACGGGAGGGATAGACAGTTTGGTGTTTGGGGGACAATTACGCCGACTTAAATCTAAGTACGACGCGGAACCCCCCTAGACCAGGCAATTAGTATTACTCCAAACATTTGGGATTACTGTATGGAGTTCGGGAGTTGTTATTTTGCTGCAGGAGCCTACGTCTTGGTCTAAGTTTTTGTCATTATTGTTCGTGTCCAAGTAGGACTCTTCCTGCACATGTGTCTTCAGTCTTGAGGCCGGAAACCATCAATATATCGATGACTTTCTGCCAAAGTATCGTAAGCAACATAACTAAAATTTCGGGAATCGAAAACATTTTTTGTCTTAAAGACTGTTTCAAATTAAATATAGCCTAAAGGTTTTATATCAAGTAAATAGCTTATAATTATAGTTATTTACTTGTTATAAAACCTATAAGTTATTTTAAAATAAAAAATGTTTTCAATTCCCGAAATTTGAGTTTTGTTGCTTACGATACTTGTTGATGTTTTTTTTAATTGTTTATTGCCGCAGTAGTGCGAAATTTCTAACAATTTTTTTAGTTATTGTGTTGCCCAAGCACGTTTTGTGATAGAGTTTTGTCCTTTTTTTCTTAAATTCCAAAATTAAGTATTGCATTTATTTATTAGTTAATTAAAAAAATGACAAGCGCAATTATTCTGTTATAATCTAATGTGTTTACAAACCCAATAGAGTTTGATTAGTATGCTGTTTTACTATGTTAGTGTTTTAATGATTTTGATATTGAGTTTATATTCTGTGTGTCAAATGTTTATTATTGGTCTCGTTTGGGTTCCATGCCTTACGCATTTGTTGTTGACAGATTTATTGTCCTACACAGCTTTGGTGTATCGCCGCGATAGTTCGAATGGAAAGTTTTGTTTTTTTGTTGTTTGTCATTTTTCTTTATTATTTTATGGTATTTGGTTAGTATTGTCTTTCTAATGTTTCTATTGTTACTGATGTTTATTGTTTTTTTTCCTAGAGTTTAAGTCTTAGGTTTTAAAGATATCTGTCGTGTTTAATTTGCAAATTATGTGTTAGGTCATGCATATGCTTAAGGATACTTATCAATTTTTTTGCGGATGGCCACTTCCCCTTTTGTTTGACCTCTTTTGTTTGTCTAGTGAAAAGCGTCCAATGACAGGTGGTATACCTGTAGGACCAGAAGCTGAAACTTGTCACTTAACTCTTTCTTCTCACTTAACACTTCACTCTTTATTGACAGTTACACTATTTTAGTTTGCACTTTATGAAAATTGTTTGTTTCACTATAATTGGTTTGCACTTTTAAAAAATTATTTGTTGGTTTTAAACTTTAAACTTTTACGTTTTAAGATCTCTCGCTGCTACATTGCGCCATGCCTTGTCAAGTGCTGGAACCTGACTAAAATTATTTATTTGGGTCGAATTTATTTGTTATTAATACACTTAATTTGTGTCAAATAAAATAATTTATTAATTTTATGTAAATATACATTATATTCGTATTTATTTCAAAGTTTAATAATAATAAATATTGCTTATTAATAGTTGCCAAATTTTCATTTCTTAAATATTGATTATTATAAATAAGACATTTTTTAACTATTAAATCTATGTTGTTTGTAAGAAATATGATATATTAATAATTAACAAATGGAATATCGTAACGCGTCGTTTTACCTCGGACCATTCCCTCCACTAACTATTAAATCTATGTTGTTTGTAAGAAATATGATATATTAATAATTAACAAATGGAATATCGTAACGCGTCGTTTTACCTCGGACCATTCCCTCCACTGTATAATGCCACGTAGTGGGTTGTTTACATATTTGCTGATAAGGATGGTGGTGGTTTGTTTGTTTGTTTGTTTGTGCTTTTGCATCACTTTTCATATAACAAGATAATTTGTATTGCGTATAAACTGTTGCGTGATTGTGTAAGTACATAATATTATTTTTCTATGGTATTGAATGATGACAAAAATAGGTCCTTAACTTTTTCCTTGGTCGTATCTCCCTTGCTTTTTGTAAACCGTTTGTAAAGTAAATTAAATTGGGATAAACTAAACACTGTATATTATTTTTTGTATACCTAATTCTCCCAAGTACGATTCTTAAAGCAATGTATTTAATAAAACAAGAAAGTAAACACAACGTGGAGGTCCAAATTTGGATAAGACGATCACGAGTCAAAGCCAAAAAATAGTTCATTTACTAATTTTTCATAAAACTTATTTTAAACAAGCTGGTGTAAGAAAAAATCTTTACAGTACCTTACAAAGGGTGCATCCAGTTAACATTTTTTTTAGTCTGTTGTTTTTTTCATTTGGCTATTATTTAAAATTAATTGGATGGTACTTAAAAAATATATAAACAATGTCTTAATATGTCGTACCTACTTTACAATCAAATTTTTTTGATAATTTGTAAATTGTAAATGTTTTTAAATATTAAATATTAAATATTGTTTTGGAATATCGAAAAAATCACAGATTTAGTTTAGACCTTTTAAAAAGCAGGTATGTAAATTTTCTTTTTTTTTTTAATAATGGCGTAAGAAGTATAGCATCGTCGTTAGGGTTGGGACAGTTTCAAACTTGAAATATTTCATTTAGTTGGAAAAGTGAAATTTTTAAAAATTTCAAATGAAATTTTCAATTCGAAAATTTCAACATTGCCTGTGAAACTTTCAGAAATTTCATTGAAAGTTTCGCAATTTACTGAAAATTTCGCATAAATTTCACATGCGGCCTCCCCTGGGACCTTTAATAATAATTTACAACAGATTCCGAATCGACCAATAAGAACGAGTTATCAAGCGTCTGGGCGTTTTTGTTTAGTTCGGCTTGGATTTGAATACACTATAAGTAATTATTGTTACTTATATGCATAAATTAATTTAAATAATCTAATTCAGTT